TTTGCAGCGTAGGCCTGCTAATTATTTTCGCCGAGGGCTGATCATTGTTTATTGCGTATTGTTGTGTTCGCACGTCTTTAGTTTTTAAAATGTAAGTAATTTTCATTTTACATTGATTTTAGGTTTCAATAGGCCTACAATTGATTTTATAGACTAAATAAAAACAGCATGTCCACCAGATGTCAGTAGTGCACTGTGGACGCAAGCGGAAAATAACGTGGCCTGTGCATTTCAGTGCATTTTTTCGAATTGCTTTAATAAATGATTCAAGATTATTAGTTACGCCTACATCAAGTATATCATACATAACTGTTTATCTATGAACATTGTTTTATCACTAACATCAGGCGTGAGTTTAGAGCCTGAGGAAGTTTTTGTGTGTGATACAAATAGCCTACATGAGTTTTCAGGAGCAATTTCCTCTTAGAAAAGAAACGGATAGCAGTATTTATTTGTGTACATTACAGACAAGCGCTTTCTCTCTTGTCTTCTTATCGGCAAAGGGAACACGTCGAGATTTAGTTAGTGGGTCAGTAGGCTGGAGGAGAGTAAATACAGGGTTATTGGCCTTTCGGACAAAAAGAGTGACCTCGATTTTAACTAGATGTTTACATTTTCATATTAAAATGTGAGGGGTACTTGCCTGTGCAAAACGAAAATCTAATTGAATTATTTTCTTCATCACCCCATTAAATTCACAAGAGAATGATCAGGTATACGCTGCTATACATAAAGCTTACGTATGCAGAATATTACCAGATGTTTTCAGAATGTACTGTATATATCCTCTAGTGATTTGCATCGCAGAGAGAGCGTCTGAAACAGACGACATCATTTTAATTAAAAGTCAAAACTTTAAATCAGTCACAAATTTCTGTATGCAAATGGTCCAAAGAAAAAAAAGGTAGACGTGGGGTAAGATTTGACTCCCACTCAATTGTTTATAAAGAGCCCATTAAAATAAGCTTAAGAAAAGTGATAAACATGTGAAACACTGTTTTTCCCCCCTACATGGCAAGTCAAATTAATTTGATGTCAAAGCAAATATATAAATATTTCTAAATATAGCTGACATTTTTGTTAAAGGGGTCATATGATGCGATTTCAATCTTTCCTTTCTCTTTGGAGTGTTACAAGCTCTTGGTGCATAAAGAAGATCTGTAAAGTTGCAAAGACTAAAGTCTCCAAAGAAAAAAAAGGTAGAGGTGGGGTAAGATTTGACTCCCACTCAATTGTTTATAAAGAGCCCATTAAAATAAGCTTAAGAAAAGTGATAAACATGTGAAACACTGTTTTTCCCCCCTACATGGCAAGTCAAATTAATTTGATGTCAAAGCAAATATATCAATATTTCTAAATATAGCTGACATTTTTGTTAAAGGGGTCATATGATGCGATTTCAATCTTTCCGTTCTCTTTGGAGTGTTACAAGCTCTTGGTGCATAAAGAGGATCTGCAAAAGTAATTTGCCAATGATGATTCAAATCAGTGTTTTGAGCAGTGTAGAATAGGCTTGTTGTTTGTTGTTTCTCCGATCACAAATGCAGACATGGTTTTATGTTTACGCGGCGCGATGTTTATATCCAATTGCAGGAACTGCTATTAGTTTCAATATCCTATTATTCGATTTAATTTCTTGCTTAGAGGACAACTTAAGTAAAACTATCTACGTATTTATTGTAATGCTGATCTTGCAGTTTTTTCCCCCCTCCAATTTTAAGAATGACAACAAATATTCTTTATTTCAAAAACTTGGCAACTTTATTTACAATTCAAGTCAGTCACATGCAACATATTTGAATGAATATAACACAAAATTAGCAAAAAAAAAAAAAAAAGCATCTTTGCAATTTTTAATTTTCTTCGAAATGTTGATTAAATATACAAAAATATAGTTTACAAATACTGTACAGAAAATATTCTCCTGCAGAATTCTTACTTTTACAAACATGTTTGTGAAATTCACAAACATTAGCAGTGTTAAAAGACTGTGGTAAGAAGGGGTGGGGCTCATGTTTACATCTGTGTGGTCACAATGAGGGGTCTGGAGCAAGATTAGGTCATCTCAGAATGAGGCAAAGGAGTGGTGTGAGGAGTTGAAAGAACATGCCGTATTGTCACGGTGGTTCACAATGACTTTGGGATAGTTGATAAATTGGCAGCTCAGTTTTGATAGTAATCATGTATTTAAAAAATGTCTGAATTACGTCATGTGCCTTATTGACTCTTGAAAACATTCTATAAAATAACTTCTACTTTACAAAAGAAATACTGCCAATATCTTCCCAACAGCCTTCTTTACTACAATAAACTCTTTATCTAGTCTAAAAAGCCTGTTCGGAACAAACAAGTTGCAAAGTTGCAACTGAAATCCTAATTTTGCCTTTTCAAAATACAATTGGTCAACCAGATATGGCACTCTCAGTAATGATCAGTAGAAAACATTAGTTTGAATATATTAAGCAAAAATGTAACCTATCACTGCTGTAGAAACACGCTAATTTGACCTCCTGTTTTCTAGATGTTTTCAGACTTATTGTGGATTTTGAAATAGCTTGTAACGATGTCCACAAAGCCTTTCTTTCCCTAATCTGCATTAGCACTAACTTAGAGCTGTTAGAAAGTACTACTGAAATGTTATGGGTTTTAAACAAGCACACAATAAATAAGAAAACATTTTTTGCCCCATTTCAGTTCTGCCTCAATGGAGAGGCACCAATACCACCAAAACGGAAGAATCTGAAAAAGTGCAGTAATGTAATTCTTGATTTTAGACGCAATTAACTACTTTCACATTATATTGACACAGATGAACCACAGCTCTCTATATGCATACATTCGTGATCAGAGTGAATCTTTAAGACCTGCTGTGTTACAAACGCCAAGAGATGGAGAGGTCCTAATTTAGGACTCAACAATATTTGTCCATGATAAGGAATAAAGGAAACCCTCAGTGTTTTACACTTTAAGACAGTACCAAAAAAAAAAAAAAGTCTTTTAATTTCTTCATACACTCAGCAAATGAAAAAAGTAAATACAAATAAATAAATACAATTAAATAAGCTCAACTTAATTCACAATCTGAATCTAGCTTAAAAAAACACAGATACATTGCAGAACGTGGTGTAGTTTGCTTGGCAATGAATGAGTACACTATTCGATCCATGACCAGACAGCACTTTAAATCAAACCAGTGCTGATTTAGTTTGGGTTTAGATAAAACATTACTCGTGTCAGATAATTCTATTTGGCATCAAAATGAAGTTTTCACATCTGGCATCATTTCTGGTGTTGTGGCCAGCCCATATACGTAATAATGTACTTATTTCCTTTCTAGAATGGCTTAACATGAAGGGCACAGAGACCCAGCCTGACCCTATAGCAGGTTGGTGGGATGACCCTGCAAAATAGCAGTATAATAGAGCAGGAAAGAGCCAGAGCTTCTATTATATTACAGAGAATAAAGAGCGGCCTTTCCTGCTGACTGAATCCACCTGCTGGTCATTGATCTTAATGCTGAGGATTCTGTGTTGTGCTGGACTGATACTAGACTAGATTGTGTATGCAACTTCAGGTCAAATCGGAGTTTGTTTCTGTAGCCTGTCTCGTTTGATTTGCCTCAGCGGCATTTCATTTATTAATATTTGTTGGAGACAGATCTGGGGCTTTATGCCAAGCATAAATTCAGAGAGCTATGCAGCACAATATAAGATTCAGTATGAACACACACACACACACACACACACACACACACACAGAGAGGCTGCTTTGCATAGAGCCAGAGCTTCATGGGAGATATGTAATAACTAAGAAAATATAATACTCAACAGTACCTGGGGCATAAAGCCCCAGATTTATGCAATAATAATTCATAAAAAGACAAACAATACTTTGGGACATTTTGTTCAGTTTAAATATGATTAAAACACCTCATTTAATTTGCACCTATTTCCATTAACTCTATAACACATCTGCAAAACTCGAAGCCAAAGTCAGGGATGCAAAAAACCGAAGCCAGAAACTGACTAATACTTTAACTATGAAGAGTTAGTGGAAACCGAAGGGGTTTAGAGCAGTAAGTGCATAACCGATATAATATAATGTTTATGTTATATAGATAATATAGGCCCGGTTTCACAGACAGGGCTTAGACTAAACCAGGATTAGGCCATTGTTCAATTAGGAAATTTAAGTAATTTTTATTAACATGCCTTAGAAAAAACATTACTGGTGTGCATCTTGAGACAAAACAAAGGCACTGATATATTTTAAGATCAGTCAGTGCAAGTTTCTTTCAGTTAAAACAGCTCAGACTTACACTTTAGTCTGGGTCTAGGCTTAAGCCTTGCCTGTGAAACCGGGGGAATGTGTATCAGACCATTGGTGTTTTTTGTTTTGCTTCAGCCTTTTAGGTTACAAATTCGCATCAAATATGGCCTTGAACCCAAAGGTATAGATGTGTGTGTGTGTGTGTATTTGTGTTTATTTAACACAGCTCTCAGTTAAAAAGCATTTCAAATATAAACACGTCCACAGAACACAGATCAAATACTGCTGGGTCACATCCTGACCTTAATAAGACAAACTCTGCATTCGGGGGAATGTGTATCAGACCATTGGTGGTTTTTGTTTTGCTTCAGCCTTTTAGGTTACAAATTCGCATCAAATATGGCCTTGAACCCAAAGGTATAGATGTGTGTGTGTGTGTGTGTATTTGTGTTTATTTAACACAGCTCTCAGTTAAAAAGCATTTCAAATATAAACACGTCCACAGAACACAGATCAAATACTGCTGGGTCACATCCTGACCTTAATAAGACAAACTCTGCATTCACATTTGTTTTGGCCACCAGCTAAAGGTCGCAATGAATTGTATCTACCGAAACAGCCATTCCACTGACTGTTAATACATAAACACTCACGCAAACAAACATATACACATTGGAGAGCTGCTGTCCCTTTAATATACAGTATAAACATAACCCTCACTAATGAAAATAAAAACAATGGTTTGCTCTGTGGCTCTAAAAAAGTTTGAAATCATAAAATATAAAACAAGATCTTGCTACTATCACAAGCAACTAGGTTTGACTTTTGTGTAAAGCGCTTGTTTAAAAAACCTTTTGTTAAAAAAGTAGTTTTTGTTTTTCTTAATGTTATGTTTTTTTTTAGTCCTTGTCTTTTATTTGCCTCTCACTGGTGTCCTCAAAAAAGTGCTTTGGTGTGGAACGGTTACTTTAAACATGGCTTGGCCATGTACACTTAATTCTTCTTCATTATCCCACAGGAAAAAAAGCTAAACCCAAATAAAATAGATTGAGTAAATCATCTATTACAGTAATTTGGGGAAAAAAATCCTTTTTAAAGCCACCAAGGTAGGACATGAACATATGCAGGTCACCGTGGCTCCAGGCACAAATCCTGTGCTCTGTCCTTGGACATGAGTGTGTACCTGTACAGGAGTGAGTGTAAAGGTAGTGGTGGTCAGATATTTAGGAGAAACAGGAGGGGCTACACCAGGTTCTCCACTCCGGGCAGAGGCTGCTGCGATGGGGGCACAGATTCGGACATGCTCTGCTGCTGCGCCAGCTGCAAAACGGGCATGTTGCACAGCGGGCAAACCTTCCTCACCTCCAGCCATTTAATAAGGCACCTAAGAGAGATACAAAGAGAATTTAGAAGATGAAAGGCCAACTAGATAATAATCTGCCCAAAATTTCCCAGATCACAGTAGAGTATCCCACTACAAAGAGACACTGCTAACCCAAACTACCAATAATGCTACTGATAACAAGTCTAAAGTGAGCTCATATGATGTCTCAGGGCTGGTTATGTGTCTTCTCTTCCCATGTGGAATGGGAGAATGAATCTCGGGTTAGTCTGAGTGAGATGTTGCTATCTCTGCACTGATGAATAATTCACTGTAAGCACAGTTCTATTTTAAGCCGTGTTGGTCCCATTAGATACACAAACAGATCTATGATACAGAAGTCCTCATTTAACCACTGACACAGTTGGGATGTAGGAGCCTTTAGGGTTCTTTTTAGGAATTTTATCCATTTTATAATTTGTATGATTACAAATGCAAATTACAAATACAAATTTATTCATTAAATAATTAACTACTATCATTTTACCAGTTTACCATTTAATATATGACTTCACTTCAATCACCCATTTAAGCTAAAAATTGGCTGGATTCCCATATAAGCAAACTATAATGTTGAAACGTTTATAAAGAACAGTTACCCACCCCTTTGATAAGAGTCCAAGCACTGCTCTGACATTTACTTTGGCATTTACTCTGATATACAACCCAGTGCAAATGTTTCACAAAGTGGTGAAAGAGAAGATGGGTGAGTCAGACACATTTCAACTAGATCAATGGCAGATTACAGCTATCCAGCACATTTAAAACCATGTAACACTGTACATTTGCATTTAATTGAAGGTTTTAAGTGTGTACACACTACCTGTCTGCCACTGTTCATCATACAGGTGGTCCAACCTCAGACTCCAATGTTAATTTTGGCCCAGGAGGGTCACTCAAATAAACAGACTGCAAACATTGTTTGGTGCTGCTAGCAGTGCAGAAATTTCTTTTTAGAAAACAACATATGCCAGGGTACTCACTTTCTGTGAAAGGCATGTTTACAAGGGCAGATTCCCAACTCATCTTTCTGCTTGAATTCCTCCAAACACACCGCACAAATCTGGGGAGAGTAAACAATACATTCCAATGAACACACAGATAAAATGTTGAAATATAAACATTTTTGCCCTCAACAAAGAAAACTGTTCCATTGAATACACTCAGCAAGTTATTACAAGAAATGGATGATATCCCCTTCAAAGATCAGTGAGACTGGAAGATATGTTGTAATGCAGTATTCTTGAGAAGATTTCTGCTGTTAACCTACAACTTTATGATAGACATAACATCAATATGCCTGAGAACATTTCTTTTAAGACTTTTCCATCTTAAGCCATGAAATGGACTACACTCAAGACCTTTCCTTTGTAATCTAGCAGTGAAGTGTAGCAGTTGGGGGTGCAGATATGACAAAAACCTTTCATGGACATCAGTTGAAATGCAGCATAACATGTCTAGACCCGGTGCTGTAAAGCAGTGGTGGAGCCAGAGGGGTGTCCAGGGTGGCACTAGACATCCCTGACATCTGATTGGCCACCCGGGGTGCCACCCCAAAATTTAATATGCTACTATCTAATTTTCTTTAATCATACTGAAAGAAGCATTTATTTTAGCCTCAAACTCAAGGACGTGATGCGTCTGGTATGCCGCATCACGCTTCATCTCGTCCGGTGTACCTTCCAGCCTCTGCTAACTCTCACGCCACACGTTCATTTTCTTACAGAGTGAAAAACATCGCAGAACAAAGAGGACACAGACAACACGCTGACAGACAAGAAAGAGCAGGTTTCTTTTGATAATGAGAAAAAGTCTCAGCATTCAAATTCTGTTCGTTTTATTAAGAATTTCAAATGATAAATACAGTTTTGGAGCTCTTTAGTGGGGTGGCGGTTCACGTGCTTTGCCTCAGGAGTGCATTCTAATTAGCATTAAATAAACATGAATGAACATCCGAGGGCATGCTGAAAAATACACTATGACTTACTGAATGTATAGTGTTTCATGTAATCACTCAATGAGTTTCAACCGAGGCAAGAAAAATGTACACTAGAGAGGAGAATTTTGCAAAAATTAAATATTATATTTTTACTCATATAATTACTCTTTTTATAGTAATTAATAGAATGTATAAATATATAACGTTATTATTAAAGTAGTCAAATATGACCTTGCATACAAATCATTTGTTACTTTTAACTTTAACAATAGGGCTACCTGTATAGTTCAGTTTAGAAAAATGTTGAAAAAAAAATTACGTACTTAATCGCAAGCTTGTTAATTATTCCTGAATAATTCTCATGACTGAACTGAAAAGTTGACAGCCCTGTTTGTAGTAAGCTGAAGTTTTAGGTTTCCTGAACAACATTTACAAAATTCACTGTGCAAGTTAAAGTTAGATCTTTTGCTCCAATCGCTGGTTATTCAGATGATAGAAATAAGAGAAATAAGTCCCAATAGACTAGAGTAACATTTGAAGTTACAGTAGGAATGTATAGCTAATGTGGGGTAATGTGAAGTAATCAGCAATCCTAGGATTTATTCATGTTTTTTTTTATGCCAGGTTGGAGTTATACATTGATTTGATAATATAGAAATGGTCTATGGGCCCCCTGAATTAGCCTTGACCACCCCCTGGCCACCCCATGTATAAACCTCTAGCTCCACCACCGTGTAAGAGGCAAGCCAAACGCTTTGATTAACAATCTGTCTCACATCAGAGAGTGATATTCTGTGGACATTTGGACTTAATTAAATAGTGATGTAATCTGGAGGTAGGCAAAATACTCAGGTATTGGCTATTCCATATAAGGCTGAGGGCTAACATCTAGTTGGAATGTATAAGAAAATGAGAAAGTCAACTGAGGAAAAGCCAAACAGAATGACAGGGTATACCACGGTAAAGATATTAAGCCAGATGTAAACAATACTAAAAATTATGACTTTTACAGATTCCCAAAAGCATTATTTTTTTCAACTTTTCACAACATAGTACTATGGTTACAGTTAGGTGACATAGTAGCACATTTTAAACCACACCTAAAATGTAAAAATAATATAACAATATA